GTATATGCACGTACACATATACCTTAATCTGTATATGATGTATACAGACGTGCACGCATACACGAATCCACAAACGTACATAGATGCATGCATGCATAAGCACATGCATGTGCATACATACACGCACGTAAATATGTACGTACGTACGCACTTACATACATGCATTCATTCCTACATGCATACATACACTATATCACAGTAATACATACTTACATACACACGGACATGCATACATTCATACACACGTACGTACATACATACATACATGCATGCATGCGTACAAACACATATACATGCATGCAGGCATACATACATACATGCATGTATACAATCATACATACATACATGCATGCATATATATACCTATACGTACATACATACATAGATACATACATGCATGCATACACACATACATACATACATACATACATACATACATACATACATACATACATACATACATGCATGCATGCATGCATGCATGCATGCATGCATCATACATACATACATACATACATACATACATACATACATACATACATACGTACAGACAGACAGACAGACAGACAGACAGACAGACAGACAGACAGACAGACAGACAGACAGGCAGGTATATATGATCCCAGGTCGAGGGTTCACAGAAAGCCCCCCGGATAGGATGGGGCCACGGGTTCCACAGGCCCTCCCAGATGGGAAGAGGGGGGGGACGACGACGACGACGACGACGACGACGACGACGACGACGTCGGCAACGACGATGGGAACGACGGCGACGGCACCGCAGCAACACCCCACACCCACAGGGCGAGGGGCTGGGGCACGGGCACCCCCGTCCACGACGCCACGCCCACAGGGCCACGACTAAAGGTTGAGGGCGGGGGGAGATCACATTCACGAGGCCTTCGCCACGCACACGGGTGTACCCATCCAGGGGGGGGGCGATCCCATTAGCACTGGGGGGGCGGAGCCCTGGATCATATGTACATGCTTCTCCCCCACCCCACCCTGATCCCCTCACTCGCCACTCTTCCTACAACCCGCTGGGTCGACCATTTGTGCGCGAGCTTGTCGCGCGCTGCTGCGCTGGCGTGTCCTGTCCCTGCGCCGCTAACCGCAGTGCCAGCCGCAGCAGCGACGAGGCGCCACATGCCCCCCGGGGACCGGCTCGCCGCTGCGGCGACGGTCCAGCAGGGGGAGGAGGAGGAGGAGGAGGAGGAGGAGGAGGAGGAGGAGGAGGAGGAGGAGGAGGAAGGAGGCGGAGGAGGAGGAGAAGGAGGAGGAGGGGGAGGGGGGGGAGGACTCTGCTGGACTCTGCTGAAGGCCGATCACGCGGCCACCGATCTTTCTGCAGCCCCTGGGGTCGCAGGAGGAACACGGGTCTCCGCAACCCCAAGGCCCCAGCCGCAGGAGGAACACGAGCCTCCGCGACTCCACACCACGGCGCAGGAGGAACACGAGCCTCCGCACGAAAAGGCCCTGGCGGCGGAGGAACACGAGCCTCCGCCCGCCAGGCGGGACACAAGAGGACACGGGCCTCCGCGCCGAATCAGGAGTGCCGCAGGAGGGCACGAGCCTCCGCGACACGCACCACAAGGCCACCTACTAGGGCAGGAGGCCGAGCTTCACCATGAACGCCGTGCGCACGTCCTCCTCCATGCCCGAGGCAGCGTTCCTGGCGGCCGTCACGACGCGGGCCAGGCCGTACTGGGCCAGGAGCGGGTCGAAGTCAGCAGCCTTCCTGCCGACCTGGACCTTGAGGGACGCCTCCTTCGGCAGCTCCGAATCCACGTCCCCGTCGAACTGCTCCTGGGCCGTCTCCCTGGAGTCCTTCACGACGAGCTTCTCAGAGTCGCACTTGGTCTCCCCCATGAACAGCCGAGTGTTCTCCAGGGCCAGCTCGTCAATGGCCGACCCCACCGCCTTGACCTCCAGGGTGGCCTGGCATCCAGGGGCGCACTTGAAGTCCTTCTTCATCAGCTCCCCCATCGGCTGAGCGCAAGGGTGCAATGAGACCTTTTCCTGCAGCTCCTCCTTGTCGGCCTCCAGGTCGTCCGTGGTGGGAGCCGACGATGCATCGCCAGCCCCACGACGGCGGCCACGCGCCCAGCGCCGGGCCTCGCTAGCCGTGGTGGGCACCGCCTGCGGCCCTGCACCGAAATCAGCGTGTTGGGCCCAGCCGCGGAAGGCGCGACTGGCCCCAGAGGGCCGAGCCACGACGCCTTCGCGGCCTGCCCGCACCATCTCGGTCAGGTGGGGCCTTCCAAGCTGCTCCCTCGCCGCCACCTCCTCGTGCACCTCGGAAGCCAGGCCAGGCGCGGGGCGAGGAAAGAAGCGCCCCAGCAGCTGCCGCCTTGACCAGCGGCGCAAGCAACGCCACCTGCTCCCCGACGAGGGGAAGGACCGCCGCCATCGCCCGAGCCGCGGCAGGGGGCAGCAACAGCCCGCCTGGCGCCCAAAGCAGGCTTGAGCCAAAATGGCTACGGAGGAGGAGGAGGAGGAGGAGGAGGAGGACGGGGAGGAGGAGGAGGACGAGGAGGAGGAGGAGGAGGAGGACGGGGAGAAGGAGGGGAAGGAGGAGGAGGAGGAGGAGGAGGAGGAGGAGGAGGAGGAGGACTAGGGAGGAGGACGGGGAGGAGGAGGAGGGAGAGGAGAGGAGGAGGAGAGGAGGAGGAGGAGGAGGAGGAAGGATGAGGGAAGGAGAAGTAGGAGGAGGGGAGTGGAGGGGGAGGGAGGAGGAAGGAAAGAAAGAAAAGAGGAGGGGCGGGGCGAGGGAGGGAGGGAGGGAGGGAGGGAGAGAGGGAGGGCGCCCTCCAGAGGCCAACCGCAGCCACGTGTCCCTCGCCCACGCAGCGGTCTCAGGCGACCAGCGTCCTGGGCGGTCTGAAGCGCTGGGTGGGCCGCGGAGCGCTCGCCGGCCGAATCTCCGCAGGAGAAGCACAGTTATCCTGGCGAGGGACCCAACTGTGTGCAGTTGCAGCGCAGTTGTGAGCATCGTCCTCGGTGGAGCTCCCTGTGGGGCCATACGGAACGTGAGGGGTGTGCCGAAATGGACGTGCGGTGGGCGGGGAGCCGCAGGCGAACCCCGCCGCTGGGGCCTTCGGTGGAGCTCCCTATGAGGCCATACAGCGCGTGAGGGGTGTGCCGAAATAGACATGCGGTCGGCGGGCAGTCGCATGCGAGCCCTGCCACTGGGGCCTGCGGTGAGGCTACCCACGAAACGCGTCAGGGGGGTGCCGAAATAGACATGCGATGGGCGGGTAGCCGCATGCGAACCCTGCCACTGGGGCCTCCGCTGGAGCTCACTATGACGCCACGAAACGCGTGAGGGGTGTGCCGAAATGGACATGCGGTGGGCGGGGAGCCGCAGGCGAACCCTGCCGCTGGGGCCTCTGGTAGAGCTCCCTATGGGACCACGAAACGTGTGAGGGGTGCCGAAATGGACATGCGGTGGGAGGGAAGTCGCATGCGAAGCCTGCCACTGGGGCCTTCGGTGGAGCTCCCGATGAGGCCATACAACGCGTGAGGGGTGTGCCGAAATGGACATGCAGTCGGCGGGCAGTCGCATGCGAACCCTGCCACTGGGGCCTCCGCTGGAGCTCACTATAGGGCCATACAACGCGTGAGGGCTGTGCAGAAATGGCATGCGGTGGGCGGGGAGTCGCAGGCGAACCCTGCCACTGTGGCCTCCGGTAGAGCTCCCTATGGGACCACGCAACATGTGAGGGATGTGCCGAAATGGACATGCGGTGGGAGTGAAGTCGCAGGCGAACCCTGCCACTCGGGCCTCAGGTAGAGCTCCCTGTGGGGCCACGAAACGCGTGAGGGGTGTGCCGAAATGGACGTGCGGTGGGCGGGGAGCCGCAGGCGAACCCCGCCACTGGGGCCTTCGGCGGAGCTCCCTATGAGGCCATACAGCGCGTGAGGGGTGTGCCGAAATGGACATGCAGTCGGCGTGCAGTCGCATGCGAACCCTGCCACTGGGGCCTCCGCTGGAGCTCCCCACGAAACGTATGAGGGATGTGCCGAAATCGACACGCGGTGGGCGGGGAGCTGCATGCGAACCCTGCCACAGGGGTCTCCGCTGGAGCTCACTATAGGGCCATACAACGCGTGAGGAGTGTACCGAAATGGACATGCGGTGGGCGGGGAGTCTCAGGCGAATCCTGCCGCTGGGGCCTTCGGCGGAGCTCCCTATGGGACCACGGAACGCGTGAGCGGTGCGCCGAAATGGACATGCGGTGGGCGGGGAGCCGCAGGCGAACCCTGCCACTGGTGCCTCTGGTGAAGCTCCCCACGAAACACGTGAGGGGTGTGCCGAAATCGACACGCAGTGGGCGGGGAGCTGCATGCGAGCCCTGCCGCTGGGGCCTTCGGCGGAGCTCCCTATAGGGCCACGAAACGCGTGAGAGGTGTACCGAAATGGACATGCGGTGCGCGGGGAGCCGCACGCGAACCCTGCCACTGGGGCCTCCGGTGGAGCTCCCTATGGGACCAAGAAACATGTGAGGGGTGTGACGGAATGGGAGGGAGAGGAGGTGAGGAGAGGAGAAGACGCGGGGAGTCTCTTCAAAACGAGGACGTAACACCACAGGATGGTTGTGAGAAAAACGCGAACGGGCGCACCAAAACTACACAAAACGTGTCGTAGCACCTTGGAGGACGGGGTCCCATTTCGACGCCCACAAACTTGCGTTGCACAGAAACCCCAAGAGCGAACGAAACGGGCAACAGTTGTACAGCTGGCCACGCCCAAGGGGTGAGGGTGCGGCTTCTGGGCTATCGGGGCGCCTGCACCCTAGTCTTGAAACTCTCGCTGTGCTCTGGATGTTGGCGCGAGTGCCTTCCTCGCCGTCGAATGATCTGATCCTGCTCGTCCCTCCTCCATCTCCTGCTGCCTCCACCTCCTCCTCCCTCTGAGTATCGTTCAACCGATCCCCATCCCCAGCGGCGTGGCCTGGGCCCCACTGGCCGCTTTACCCCCCTAGATGGGGATATAAGTCGTTCCCTTCGGGTTTCGAGGGGTGTGTCCCCAACTGGGGTGGTAATTTGAGGGGGGGGGGTCTCGAGGGGGATGGAGATGGGGATGGGGACCGTTGAAACGATACTGACCCTCGTCCCTGAAGGGGAACATGAAGGGGGGGGACCAGGGACCAGCTCAGGGGGAGCGGGGGGAACATCGAACCGGCATCGGCCAGACATCGCCGATTGACCGGCGATGGCTGGCGAAACCGCACGGTGCTGGGCGCGTCGAGCCCCTGTCGGCGATCAGTGGGCGATCTGGGGTCGATGCATCCCCCCTTGAGCCCCTCCTCCTCCTCCTCCTCCTCCTCCTCCTCCTCCTCCTCCTCCTCCTCCTCCTCCTCCTCCTCCTCCTCCTCCTCCCCCTCCCTCCCCCCATTCCCTCTTCCCCGCACTCTTCGGGGGAAGGGCAGCGGATCGGCAAGCATGGTTTGACATCCCATCTGCCTAGGCCTCTCAGAAGGGGTCGGAGCAGGCGGGGTCGGAGGATCGCGCCGCATCGCCGATGCATCGGCGATGCGGCTCGAGGTGGAGCCCGATTTGCTTAACGTCGACGCCGCCGATGCATCGCCGTCGTTGCCGTTGCATCGACGATGCATCGGCGATGCGGCGCTTCAGTGGAGGCCAGTCCACAAGAAACCTTCCACAAGAAACCCAACCCTGAGACCCCGTCCATTGATTTTTGGTGTGCGAACGTCACGCTTCCCTTAGCAAAACCATCGAAACCCAAGGAACCCAGGGCACCCTGGAGGCAAGCAGGGTGCCTCCTGGCGTGGGCCTCCACTGTAGGCACTGCAGGAGGCTCTAACCTGCCCCCCCCAGTCCTAGAGGCCTCCTAGATGGGGTCGGAGTAGATGGGGTCGGAGGATGGCGCCGCATCGCCGATACATCGGCGATGCATCGGCAAAGCATCGGTGATGCACCGGCGATGCATCGCCGACGTGGGCCATGCATCGGCGAAGCCAGCGTGGAGAAAATGGGGCTCCGCACCGAGCCGCGTCGTGAATGCATCGGCGATGCGGCGCGATCCTCCGACCCCATCTACTCCGACCCCATCTAGGAGGCATAGAACTCCTCTTAGGTCGGGCCTGTCCCCCTACAGGGGGACTTTGGACGAAAAATAAAAAATACCCAAAAAATTAGCTTGACGAAGGACCCAACCATGTGCAGTTGCGAGTACCGCATTGTGGGTACTGGTTTCGGTGGAGCTCCTATGGGGCCACGAAACTTGTGAGGGGTGCGCCGAAATTGGTGGCGCGGACGCATGTGGACACCGCCACTGGGGCCTTCGGTGTAGCTCTCTATGGGGCCACGAAGCGCTGCCCTGTGCGAGGGAGACGCATGCGAACTGCGCCATTGGGACCTTCGCTGGATCTCCTTATGGAGCCACGAAGCGCTGTCATGGGTAGGGGAGACGCATGCGAACTGCGCCTCTGGCGCCTTCGGTGGAGCTCCCTATGGGGCCACGAAACGTTGTCCTGGGTGGGAGAGACGCATGCGAACACCCCGATTGAGGCCTTCGGTGGAGCTCCCTATGGGGCCACGAAGCGCTGTCCTAGGCAGGGGAGACGCATGCGAACACCCCCACTGGGGCCTTCGGTGGAGCTCCATATGGGGCCACGAAACGCTGCCCTGGGTGGGGTAACCGCATGCGCCCAACCCCACTGGGGCCTTCGGTAGAGCTCCCTATGGGGCCACGAAACGCTGCCCTGGGTGGAGGAACCGCATGCGCCCACCCCCACTGGGGCCTTCGGTAGAGCTCCCTATGGGGCCACGAAACGCTGCCCTGAGTGAAGGAACCGCACGCGCCCACCCCCACTGGGGCCTTCGGTGGAGCTCCCTATGGGGCCACGAAACGCTGCCCTGGGTGGGGGAACCGCATGCGCCCACCCCCACTGGGGCCTTCGGTGGAGCTCCTTACGGGGCCACGAAGCGCAGCCCTGGGTGGGGGAACCGCATGCGCCCACCCCCACTGGGGCCTTCGTGTGGAGTTCCCTGTGGGGCCGCGAAACGCTGCCCTGGGTGGGGGAACCGCATGCGACACCCCCACTGGGGCCTTCGGTGGAGCTCCCTATGGGGCCACGAAACGCTGCCCTGGGTGGGGGAACCGCATGCGCCCACCCCCACTGGGGCCTTCGGTGGAGCTCCCTATGGGGCCACGAAACGCTGCCCTGGGGTGGGGAACCGCATGCGCCCCCCCCCCACTGGGACCTTCGGTGGAGCTCCCTATGGGGCTACGAAACGTGTGAGAGGTGTGCCGAGAACAGAGGCAAGGAGGGGGAGGAGGGAGGAGGGGGAGGAAGGAAGGAAGGAAGGAAGGAAGGAAGGAAGGAAGGAAGGAAGGAAGGAAGGAAGGAAGGAAGGAAGGAAGGAAGGAAGGAAGGAAGGAGGAACGCGGGGCACCGTCTCTTCAAAACGAGGACCCAACACCACAGGATGGCTGGGAATGCTCAAAAGATGCCCAAAAATGCTCAAAAAATCGTCCCCTGACTGTTTTCTATTTTTTGGGAGACTCCCCCTGGTGAGCATTTTTTTATTCTGGGTTCCGGCTTTAGGCGCATGGGGGGGAGGGGGGGGGGTCCGGCTCTCGGCCCGTAGTCAATGCCCCCGATTGAATCATGTGGGGAATCCTGTGGGAGATGCCGATGAGGGAATCCTAGGGGGGACCCCCCATGGGGGAATCGCGCAGCGGCTGCGCGGGGCTGCGCCAAGGCTATGCGTGATTTGGCAAGCCTGTGCCAGAATTGCTAGGGATCACCTATTCATGATTCCACGAGGCCGTCGCTGGCATAACAGGGGAGGGCCCAGCCGGAGGCATGCTTTCTGGCGATCGGGTCCGGCGCCCCTGAGCCCTTTCGTTGTGGTTCCAGAAGAGTAGCACGATAAAATGCGCACAGTTGCACACATCAGCGATTCGAGTTTCTACCGGGGGAGGGGGGGGGGGGCGCCGGCCCCTGTAGTTCGTCCGATCGATTGAAGCAGGTGCCAAAATCAGCCCGGAACTTCTCTACGGGGGGGGGGGGGGGGGGGGGAGGGGCGTTCCGCCGAAAGCAAAAAACAAATAATAAAAGAATGCTCACCTGTGGAGGGACAGGCCCGACTCAAAATTCCTCCCTCCGGCTCCTCGTGGACCCCGGGGCGCCCGCTGCCCTGCGCGCAGCGGGCGCCGGCCCCTCGCGTCATCGCCGCGCCACGGCCCCGGCGCCGGGCCGGCCAGCGCCGGGCCGGCGGCCCGCGTCCAGGAAGAAGGACATGTCCAGGTCTGCGGCCCCCGCTCCTCCTCCTCCTCCTCCTCCTCCTCCTCCTCCTCCTCCTCCTCCTCCTGCCTCCTCCTCCTCCTCCTCCTCCTCCTCCTCCTCCTCCTCCTCCTCCTCCTCCTCCTCCTCCTCCTCCTCCTCCGATAGACGAGCGCGTTCCACTACTCGCAAAAAAACTACTCGCAAAAGGCCTGGATTCGCCGCGGGGAATCCACGATAACTCACATCGAAACCGACGCGCGTTTTTGGAACGTTTGCGAGTAGGCACTTTGCAAGTAGTGGAACGCGCTCGGTGATCCGCAGCGGGCCTCCAAAAAAGGCGAGGCAGAGAGCGGCGGGCCACTGCGGCGCAGAGAGGGAGAGAAGGATCGACGAGCCTCGGAGCCTCTGCCGGCGCCAACGCGTGCTCGTCCCCCGAGGGAGAGGGGGGAGAGCGGGGCAAGCTGGGTGCGCTGGCGTCCTGCCCCTCCCGCCCGTCCCGTCCCCCACGGCGCCAGATCGTTTTGCAGCCGCCGACGGGGGTGTGGACCTCGACCCCGGAAGGAACCCCGCGTGCGCTGCGCAGACAGAAGGGGGGGGCCCGGGGGCCCTGTACACCAGAGGTGGAGGCGGCGGATAAGGAGGAGGAGGAGGAGGAGGAGGACCAGTGCAAACTCAAGAGCCATCGGCGATGTTGGAATACACCCTCCCTCCGAGCTCCCTCTTCATAGGCCCCTGCAACGGTATATTTCCATTGAAGGATCTGCCTCGTTGAAAGACAACCGTTTGAAGACCCGGAAGCATGCCACAACTTTGTTCTCGGGGTTCCAACGCCACGGATCAATCTGACTGTTGCGTCTTGACGATCCTGGATCGTGCCACAACGCCATTCTTGGGATTTCAGCACCCCGAACCATCATAACTGTTGCACCCGCAACATCAAGAATCCTTCCAAAACACCATTTCTGGTACGCTGATCGTGGGAATCCGCGAAACTCTTGCAAATTCAATGAACCGATGAGCACGGCGCCAAGGCGAGAGCCGCATTATGCTTTAAAAACGAATGTGCGCGACGCTAAGGCGAGAGCCACATTTTGAAAACGGGTTATCCGCAATCCGTGAAACGCTTCCAATGTTTCTCATAAGAATGTGCGCGGCGCTGAGGCGAGAGCCACATATTGAAGACGGGTTTATCCTTAATCCGCGAAACTCTTTTAAATCTTTAGAACGAACGTGCGCGGCACTAAGGCGAGAGCCACATTTTGAAATCCACCCGCCCTCCATCTGTGAAACTGTTGCCAACGTTTGAACTTCAGAGTCAAAAACGGTGAGGAAGTCTCAGGCAAAACGCCAGGCCCGCCCTAAAAACTGGCCTCAGGGTGCGACAGGAAAAAGAATGGAGGAGGAGGAGGAGGAAGGACCATTGTAAACAGGAAACACATCAACGATGTGGCAATGAACCCCCCCTCCAAGTTCCCCCTCCATAGGTCCCTGCAAGCAGGAGCAGTGGCGGGAGGACCAGTAGCAGGAGCGGGAGGAATCGCAGCAGAAGCAAGTGGAGCAGGAGGGGCAAGACCAAGGGAAGGCGGAGGAGTGGAAGGGAGAGGGGCCTCAGCGGCGAGGAAGCAATCGACTCCAGAAACGTTTCCCGCGCTGAGGCGAGAGCGTGAGTGTGAATGACGAGAGCATCATGTCGAAGGACCGAAAACAATCCGAGTGAAAACGACGAAATCCTACCCCACCCGCCCAGCCTTTCCCATTCCGCTGAATCCCGCTCGATTCGTCGAGTCGAGTGTCGAGTCGGACCTTGACCCTCAAGTGGCACTTACGCGGAGCAGGAGGAGGATTGGGACAGGGAGGGAGGGAAAGAGCACGGAGGTGCGGGGGGGACTAGTGAAGGAGCAGCAGGTAGTTGAGAAAGAAGAGAAAGCGGGGGAAGAGGAGCGGAAGGGAGGAGGCGGAGGAGGACGACGAGGGAGGACCACAAGGAAGGAGTAGGAGGACAAGAAATCACACCAGACTCGCGCCCCCGAGGGAACAGTCGCTGTCGAAGTACACCGCGCTCGCGCCCCCGAGGCAAGAATCACTCGCAACTCACGCCAGAGTCGCGCCCCCGAGGCCATGATCCCTTGTAAATTACGCCAGGCTCGCGCCCGCGAGGCCACAATCCCTTTTTGCAAAGCACGCCAGATTCGCACCAGATTCGCCCGCCGAGGCCACGATCCCTGTTATAAATCGCACCAGATCCGCGCACCCCCCAGGAATACGATCCCTCATGAATGATGCCAGACTCGCGCGCCCCGACACCATGAACCTTCATCATTCCGCCGGATGCACTCCCCTGTTTTTCCCCGCCTACCCACAGCGCAACAATCAGCCAAGGAAAGGTTGTATGCCTGATGTGATCCAAAAAATGTGATGGTGAATAGGCATTGCGACGGCAAGATGCGCATGTCACGAAATACCTCTTGGAGGCGGTGTGGACAGGCACTTCCCCGAGCCCACGATCCCTCGCACATTGAGCCAGCGACGCGCCCCCAATGCCAGAGTCCTCTCTTTAAACCAGAACCGATGCGCGGCCGGCCACCCCACGCGGGCTGCCCAAAACCGCCACACCCCCCCCAGGTCAGAACCATTACACCTTTCTGGATGGGGTAGCTGTTCGGCCCCTCCCCCCCGCCAGTTCTTGAGAATGCTGCGCTGGACCTTTCGCCGCGAGTCCCCGAAAAGAGCGAAGACGGCAAAGAACCCCAGAGGCAGTCCCAAACCACGCGATGTTTCCCAAGACGGCCTCCAACAGCCCCCAATCGTTCCAAGAGGGCTTCTCATTCACAAACGAAGGAAATGCTCAAAGAAGGCCACAGAGCATTCAACCATAACTCCGACATGTCAACACGTGTTGCTGGCAGACAGCCCTCATCGCATGACGTTCACAAAGATTTTCAAGACGGCGCCAAGACACCCCAGCACAGCTCTAATGTATCCCGCTCTGGTAGAGAGGGAGCTGGCGGCAGAGGGTGAACCCTTCACTGACTTGTATGTATATACACATATATGTATGATGATGATGGTGATGCTGCTGATGACGGTGATGATGCTGATGATGATGATGATGCTAATGGCGATGATGATGACCACGATGACGATGATGATGATGATGATGATGATGATGATGATGATGATGATGATGATGATGATGGTGGTGACGATGATGATGATGATGATGATGATGATGGTGACGACAACGACGACGACGATGGCGATGATGATGATGTGATGGTGGTGATGATGACGCTGCTGATGATGATGGTGATGATATGATGCTGGTGACGATGATGATGGTGATGATAGCAAAAAATGGTGATGATGATGATGATGATGATGATGGTGATCATGATGGTGATGATGATGCTGGTGATGCTGGTGTTGATGATGATGATGTTGATGATGATGCTGGTGATGATGGTGATGATCATGGTGATGATGATGAGGAAGAATGGTGATGATGATGCTGATGATGATGATGATGGTGCAGTTGGGATCGACATCTGAATAGTAAAATCGATAGATAATAAGCCTGGTATAGTGCAAGTGGGATCAAATGACGAGTCGCGAGTCCGATGTACAACGAGATCGACCGACAGGCTCATAGTACCCTCGTTAGAATGATAGGTAAGCAGCCCGATCATCAGTTCGGCTGGAGCATGAACTGATAGTGAGAGCGGCAAAGAGAAAAGCCGGCACACACATATATATATAGATGTGTATATATATATATATATATTGCACACACATACGTGTTTGTATAAGTTTCCATGGATCGATTGTGAAGCCGATCGGTACAAAGATCGAGAGATATCGATGCCGTTTGATCGGCAGATCGCGAACCCGTCCCTACGCCAATCGCAAGCTGAACGCTTCACCCATTCACCCCCAAACCTCCTTCGTACCCGAAGGGCCATGCTGTAGGTGCGCAGTTACAGAAACAACGAAAAAGCGTGATGGGCTAAGAGACCGAGAGTGACCAGGGAAGAGAGGGGAATCGTACTCATTACGGGAACCTGTGGCAGAGAGAAGAGTGTGATAGGTGAGAGGGGAGAAGTAATATGGGAGAGGAGAAGCGGGGAAAAGAAAACAAAGAGAGAGAGAGAGAGAAAGAAAGAAAGAAAGAACAACTAAGAAAGGCGGGGGAACTCGCGAAGAACACCCGCAATTCAATGAGAGCCGAAACCGGTAAAACCACAAAGGCGGGAAGAACATGACTACACTCCCGGGGCACGGGACAAACACACACACACACACACTCATGGCTGGCGGTGGCCGCACCCGACAGCTCTCGGCGTGGCGCAGCTGGCAGAGCGGACACTGGGGCCGAACACCCTTCCGACATTTGCGAAATCATGACGCGGTCATAGCTGCGAACGGCGCGCGAAAGGAAATAAGAGCGGCAACGGGCATAAGAGTTGGAAGCAGAAGGGAAATGGGAAAGGACGGGCAGGGAGAACGGAAGGGTGCGGAGAGGAGAAAGGGAAAAAGACAGGGAGAGGGAGCCAAAACGAGAAGCGGAGGGCACGCGGGAAGGTGCAGGGCGAAGGGCAGAGGGGAAAGAGAAGGGGGAAGCGGAAAAGAAACGAAGAGCGGGAGAGGCAACCAGCAGGAACAGAAGCGGCAGGCCAAGGACGAGGGGAGCGGAAGGGGAGAGGGGAGGGGGGCAAGAGGAGGGGAGAGGAGAGGGAGGGAAAGGCGAGGGGGACAGGGGGAAGGGATGCGGATGGTGATCGGGCTGGGGAGAGGGACGGGCAGAGGATGGATGAGGAAGAGGTCTGAGCGAGAAGGGCGCACAGGAGCACCTTGCTTCCGCCACCTGTCTTCGAGGAGACTGCTCCAGTCCCGTCGTAAATCCACGATGTCCTCCGCAAGACTGGTAGCATGCGATATGGAAAAAATCATCTGGTGTCACCCCCTGTGTTACAAGTGACTTCGATCTTGTGCAGGTAGCGCTCGCTCTTTCTATCCTTGCTGCCATGGGGGTGCTTACCGTTTTTAGCATAATTATCCCTCCCTACCCCGCCCCCCCCCTGACAAATACTAAATTTGCACAAGCATGCGTCATAACTGTTCGTCGTGGATTTCGCTCTGCATCTTTCATCTGCTGACAGAGAGGATGAGGGAAGCGTGCCGGTTGCTGATGCTCGAGGCGTGAACTGTGGTAGGAATGATGCACGAGCGACCAGTGGTCCTCACGATGGGCAAGTGGAGCATACACTACTACGGGTGTGGCTGTAAGAACTGTACTGCCAATGTTTTTGAAGCAATCCGCGTGCACGGTCGGCTGTTTAACTATGGTGGCCACTGGCGCACTGCTATAAAGCATTGCTTCGGTAAGCCGTGGCGCAGGGGTTACCATTGTTGCAGTGGCGATCGCTCTTGATCTGGTGGGTCATTGGCGCACCGAGGGGGGCATGACGATCATGTGGTGAACAAGTCCACTCTCTCTGATTCGAGCATCAGCACTACACGAGCAGACATCTGCCGCCGTGCCGTGGGCACTGCGTGGCGTGTCGGCAGGTCCCCTCGAGCTCTCTGGGCTGAAGATCGCGCAAAGGCTCGTCGAGGGCCCCATACCCAAGACTCGCACAATTTCCGGGGGCGGCCGCGCGGCCCTGGAGCTCGTCGCACGACGCGTCCCGAGGGCCCGAGAGCTTGGCGGGGGGGCACGCTTCCCGCGTGTCCTCAAATGGACTCCGGGGACCGGCCTATCTCGCTTGGGGGTCTCTTGGGCCATCTTGGGAGCAATGGCACTGGCCCAAGAGGCCCAAAGAGCATTGAAATGGCGCGAGATTTAAACATCTTCGCATGCTCGCCTTTCCAGCCTCTAGAGCGTCCAAGACAACACAAGAGGCCGCCAAAAGGGCAGCCAAGAGGGCCCCAAAAGACCCCAAAGAGGGCCCAAGAGGGGCTGGAGAGGGGGAGCTCGAAGGGGGTTCCGGGCGCCGCCAAGAAGCGCGGCCCTTGCGGATGCGGATCGCGTGACTGGTCTTCCACTCGTCCTCCGCCTGCTCTTCCCTGGAAGGGGGATTCGACTGTCGGGCCCAAACAAGCTCGGCACTCGTCCGGCTGCTAGGGAGCGGCCCTGCCTTCGTGGAGGGCCGGTCCGATCCGATCCTAGAAGGGGAGCAGGGGGGGGAGCGAGGGAGCGAGCGAGGCGCCAGCGCAAGCTCGTGCGGCGAAGCGCGTGTGCCTGTGCCCGTCTGGGAAAGTCGCGTGGGGCCGTGGCCCCCGAAGCCCGCAAGGAGACCACGAGGAGCGAGGAAGACATCGGCGCAGAGGAGCGCGCCCGCGGACACTGTCGGCGGCGGACGTGCGCGGCGGCCACGCCGCTGGGCATCTGCGCACCGGTTCAAGGGCCGAAGGAGGAGGAGGAGGAGGAGGAGGAGGAGGAAGAGGAGAGGGAACCGATTTGAAATGGCACAGAAGCGTCTCCCAAACAAACGAACCACAACCCCCCAAACTCACACGTGTACCGTGGTGCGGAGCCCCGCGACCTCGAACAAGAGTTTCGCAGGGGGGCGATTCGGCCCTGGAACCCTGCGCACCTCCCCCTGTCCCTCTCGGGGCTCCTCGGGAAGCCTCTCCAGGTGTCTCGCAGGTCACCACGTGGGCCCTCGCAGTCACTGCTTCGCACGAGGGTCCACCCGCTGGGAGACATCGGCGCACTCCACCCCTGGAAGTCACCGCGGCCTGCTCCGATACCGCTCCCGCGGCCCGCTAGGCTCCAAAGGCCCCCCTGGGCAAAGGTGTTTGGCGGTCGCCCCTGGAAGGCCTCTGCACGACCCCTTGGGGAGCCTGGTGGGTCCTCTAAAGTTCTCTCTGGCGGTTTTCTGGCCACTCTCCCTCGCGAAACGCTTACGTACAACACCCCTCGTCTCGACACCAGCATCCGTATGTGCAAGCTTGCAGCTCAACTCGCGATGGAACTCCCACTGGCGCTCCTGGTTCACCTAGAGCGCGCCGCGGTCGCTGGAAGCAGCATCACTGAAACGGCACCAGCATGTGCAGCGCGGGAAATGCACCCGAGGCTGAAACCAGAACGTAAGCGCTTCTCTTCGGGCTCTCGAAGACAGCGGTCGCGGCACAAGGAAACCAACCCGCGGCAATTGTGCGCATTGCTTAAAGTATCTCGGTGAGGCTTCAGCTGCTGAAGTAGAGCTCATCAGTACGTCCTGATTCCTCAACATTGGCCATACATCACCTGGTGCACGTTTTCTTATTCGGCGTTTCGACATTGGTCGGAAGGAGGGGAGGGGGGGTCTGACTCTGGACCTCTGCTCAGTGCGACTGTTTGCAGCAGTGCGTCCCATGGGGGAGACTCCACCTGCCCGAAACGGGCGCCAAAAACAGCCAGGATCTACTCCACGGGGGGGGGGAGGGCGGGGTGCGAGGGCCCGCGCCGATTGGCAAAACAATGAATACGAAAACGGTGATCAAAGCTTAAAACATCTCGGTGAGGCTTCAGCTGCTAAGGTAGAGCTAATCAGTGCTTCCTGATCCCTCAAAATTGGCCACGTCCCGCTTCCAGAAAATGCCAGCCGCCCAGCGGCACAGCTTTGACAACAGCACTCAGACAACCGACAGCGGCGAGACAAGATGGGCCAGCGGAATGAGCGAAGCGATGAGCCCCAAACCGGCATGTACCACCCCCACATCGCGTTGCCTGATTTCCCGGGGGACGTTGAGATTCGCGCCCCCGAAGCCATAATCCCTCGTAAATTACGCGATGCTCGCGTCCCCGAAGCCACAAATCATAGTAAGTTAGGCAATTGTTGCGCCCCCGAGGCAACAAGCCTTCGCAAATTACGCCGTATTCGCGTCCCCGAAAACATAATCCCTTGCAAAGTATACAACATTCGCGTCCCTGAGGCCACAAACCCTCACAATTTACGCCACATTCGCACTGCCGAGGCCAAGCGTGCTCCGAGGTGCCCGAAAATGGTTCCAAAACGGCCCAAGTGGGCCCCAAGAGGCCCCAAGAGCGCTCCATGGGGCCTCCCGCCCCCAGAAGCCAAAATCGTCGATGTTGCTTTGTTTTTTTTTATTTTGGCATTCTCGCCCTCTCAGCTTTCCGACGCTCCAAGACGGCTCAAGAAGCTCTGGAGACCGCCCCAAGACAGCTCAAGACGCCTCCAAGAGGGCCCTAAGACGGCCCAAGAGAGCTCCAAGATGGCCCAAGAAGCGTTCCGAGAAGCCCTGAGAAGCCCCCCGGAGGCCCGAAGATGCCGCCAAGAGGCGCCCAACACGCGCCCAAGAGGCCTCGAAGACACCCAGAAGATACCCCACGAGGCCCCAAGAGACCCCCAAGAGGCGCCAAAACCGCCTCCAAGCGGCCCCCGAGAGACTCCCCACGACACCCCACGACACATACAAGAAGCCTCAGACCCAAAACCCAGGCACGGTGGCGGGATGCGCCGAAGGCCACTAGGATCCGCCGCCCCCTGTTGATTCATCACAGGGGTGCCTGGCGTGCTGAACCTTCTAAGTTTTGGTTTTGGCTTTTTCTCCAAAAGAACTACCCCTGGGGCTTCGGCCCGTCCCGCCGGGGTCCCGGGAGGATTGCCGGGGAGCTCAATTCCCTACTTTCCTGCCCAAGACAGCTCCAAGATGGCCTCCAAGATGGCTCCAAGACGGCCAGGATGACCTCCAAGATGGCTAAGATGGCTTCCATATGCCTCCAAGACGGCCCAAGAGAGTCCAAGACGGCCCAAGAAGGCCCAAGAGGCCCCCCAGAGGCCTCCCAGACGGCCCAAGAGGCCTCCAAGAGGTCCTCCAGGAGGGCCCGAAGAGGCCGAAATCATTGATTTTCCTTAGGTTTTTGAAGCATCTTGGAATTTGCTTCTTCTCAGCATTCCGCCGGCTCAAGACGGCCCAAGAGGCCCCCAAGATCGCCCAAGAGGCCCCCAAGAGGGCCCCATGACGGCCCAAGTGGCCTCCAAGATGGCCCCAAGAGGGCCCCAAGACGGCCGAAGAGGCCTCCAACACGCCCAAGATGGCCTCCAAGACGCCCAAGATGGCCTCCAAGACAGCCCCGAAGCGCCCCAAGAGGGTCCCCCGTTGGCCCAGAAAGGCCCCGACGGCTCCCGACGGCCTCAGACGTGCCAGGAACCCACCAAGATGGCCGAAGTTGGCTCGAAGCTGGCCCAAGACGGCCCAAGAGGCCCCCAAGAGGGCCTCCAGGAAGGCCAGAAAAGGCAAAAAAAACCTTGATTTCCCCAAGGTTTTCGACGGATTTTGACATTCCCTTCTTTTCGGCCTGCCGACGGCCCGAGACGGCCCAAGAGCCCCCAAAGATCGCCGAAAGATCGCCCAAGAGGCCTCCAAGACGGCCAAGATGACCTTCAAGATGCCCACGTGTTCCCCGAAGGCTTTCCAAACCGATTCGGGGAACACATGGTCCGATGGCTTGGCAGGTCTGGCCTCAACGTTCGGCCACATCGGCGCTTCCACAAAGGCAGGGGGCGGCGGTGATTCGCCGTAGGCGTCTTCGATCCGCCGCCCCCTTTTGATTCATCAAACGGGTGCCTGGCGTGTTAGACCCTCTCGGTTTTGGTTGTGGTTCTTTTTTCCAAAAGAACTCCCCCTGGGGCTCCGGCGCGTCCCGCCGGTCACCCGGAAGAGATGGTTGCCAACAGTTTTCCTGCCCCAGACGGCCCCAAGATGGCCTCCAAGACGGCAAAAATGCCTCCAAGACGGCCAAGATGGCCTCCAAGACGGCTCAGATGGCCCCAAGATGCCTCCAAGACGGTCTAAGATGCACCCAAGACGGCCTAAGATGGCCTCAAGCTGGCCCAAGATGGCCCAAGAGGCCCCGAAGAGGCCTCCAAGACGGCCCAAGAGGCCTCCAAGAGGTCCTCCAGGAGGGCCCGAAGAGGCCGAAATCATTGATGTTCCTTAGGTTTTTGAAGGATTTTGGCATTTGCGCCTTTTCGGCTTTCCGACGGCCCCAGACGGCCCAAGAGGCTCCCAAGAACGCCCCTAGATCGCCAAAGAGGCCTCCAAGAGGGCCCCATGACGGCCCAAGTGGCCTCCAAGACGGTCCCAAGAGGGCCCCAAGACGGCTCAAGAGGCCTCCTACACGCCAAAGATGGCCTCCAAGACAGCCCCGAAGCGCCCCAAGAGGGCCCCAAGTCGGCCCAGAAAGGCCCCCAAGACGGCTCCTGACGGCGTCAGACGTGCCAGGAACCCACCACGATGGCCGAAGTTGGCTCGAAGCTGGCCCAAGACGGCCCAAGAGGCCTCCAAGATGGCATCCAGGAAGGCCAGAAAAGGCCAACATGTTCCCTTTTTCCCTGAGATGTTTGAAGGATTTTGACATTTGCTTCTTTTCAGCCTTCCGACGGCCCGAGACGGCCCAAGAGCCCCCAAAGATCGCCCACAGATCGCCCAAGAACCCTCCAAGATGGCCCCAGAACGGCCAAAGAGGCCCCCAAGACGGCCCCAAGAGGCTCCCAAGACGGTCCAGAAGGCCTTTAAGACGCCCAAGATGGCCTCTAAGACGGCCCTGGAGGATTCCAAGAGGGCTCCACGTCGGCCCAGAGAGACCCCTGGAGGATTCCAAGAGGGCTCCAAGTCGGCCCAGAGAGACCCCCCAAACGGCTTCCGAAGGCGTCAAGCAGGCCAGGAGCCCACCAAGACGGCCGAAGATGGCCGTAAGATGGCCCAAGACGGCCCAAGAGGCCTCCAAGAGGGCCTCCAGGAAGGCCCGAAAAGGCCACAATCATTGATTTCCCATGAGGTTTTGAAGGATTATGGCAGTTGCTTGTTTTCGGCCTTCCGACGGCCCGAGAAGGCCCAAGTGCCCCCAAAGATCGCCCAAGACGGCCCCAAGAGGCCCCCAAGACGGCCCAAGAGGCCTCCAAAACGCTCAAGATGGCCTCCAAGACGGCCCAAGAGCCCTCCAAGACGTCCTCCAAGAAGGCCCGAAAGGGTCAAAATGGCCTCCAGACGGCCAAGATGACCTTCAAGATGCCCACGTGTGGCCCGAAGGCTTTCCAAACCGATTCGGGGAACACATGGTCCGACAGCTTGGCAGGTCTGGCCTTAACGTTCGGCCACATAGGCGCTTCCAAAAAGGTAGGGGGCGGCGGTGATTCGCCGCAGGCGTCTTCGATCCGCGATTCATCGCAGGGGTGCCTGGCGTGCTAGACTATTTCGGTTTTGGTTTTGGCTCTTTTTCCAAAAGAACTCCCCCTGGGGCTTCGGCCCGTCCCGCCGGCCGCCCGGAAGGCGCGCAATTCTCTACTTGTTCCGCTCCAGATGGCCCAAGATGGTCTCCAAGATGGCCACGTTGGCCCAAGATGGCCTCCAAGACGGTCCAAGATGGCCCCAAGAGGCCTCCGAGACGGCCAAGATGGCCTCCAAGATGGCTCAGATGGCCCAAAGATGCCTCCAAGACGGACCAAAATGCACCATAAACGGCCTAAGATGGCCTCAAGATGGCCCAAGACGACCCAAGAGGTCCCCAAGAAGCCTCCCAGACAGCCCAAGAGGCCTCCATGAGGTCCTCCAGGAAGACCCGAAGTGATCAAAATCAGTGATTCTCCGTAGGTGTTTGAAGGATTTGGGCATTTGCTCTTTTTCGGCATTCCGACGGCTCAAGACGGCCCAAGAGGCCCCCAAAGATCGCCCCAAGATCGCCCACGAGGGCTCCAAGATGGCCCCATGACGGCCCAAGAGGCCCCCGAGACGGTCCCAAGAGGGCCCCAACAGGCCTAGGAGACGGCCAAGATGGCCTCCAAGACGGCTCAGATGGCCCCAAGATGCCTTCGATACGGCCCAAGATGCCCCAAGACGGCCTAAGATGGCCTCAAGCTGACCCATGACGGCTCAAGAGGCCCCCAAGAGGCCTCCCAGACGGCCCGAGAGGCCTCAAAGAGGTCCTCCAGGAGGACCCGAAGAGATCAAAATCATTGATTATCCGTACTGCAGGTTCCTGTCGTGTCGACCCCGGCGTTGGTTCCCGACACCGCGCTGGATCGTTCAACCTGGAACGATCGGCCGTCTCCGCAACGTCCAATCGTTCAACATCGACCGATTCTGGGCCGCCGTCGGCGTTCAAAGTTGAACGCCGGCGGCGGGGTCGCCGACGGTCGACACGACGCGAACCTACCGTAGGTGTTTGAAGGAAGAGGGCCCAAGAGCCCCCAAGGTCGCCCCGAGATCGCCCACGAGGCATCCAAGATGGCCCAATGACGGCCCAAGGGGCCCCCGAGACGACCCCCAGAGGGCCCCAACAGGCCTCCAAGACGGCCAAGATGGCCTCCAAGACGACTAAGATGGTCACAAAATGCCTTCAAGACGGCCCAAGATGCACCCAAGACGGCCCAATATAGCCGCAAGATGGCCCAAGACGGACCAAGAGGCCCCTGAGAGGCCTCCAAGAGGGCCCAAGAGACCTCCAAGAGTTCCTCCAGGAAGGCCCGAAGAAACCAAAATCATTGATTTTCCTTAGCTTGAGCCTTGTCGGCCTTGACTGCGTTTGACCTTGAGCCTTGTCGGCCTTCCGACGGCCCAAGACGGCCCAAGAGGCCCCCAAGGTCGCCCCAAGATCGCCCAAGGAGCCTCCAAGATGGCCGCATGACGGCCCAAGAAGCCCCCAAGACGGCGACCTCCAAGACGTGCAAGATACTCTCCAAGGCGGCCCTGAAGCGCCCCAAGAGAGCCCCAAGTCGGTTCAGAAAGGCCCCCAAGACGGCTTCCGACGGTGTCTGACGGGTCGGGAACGCCCTAAGATGGCCAAAGAGGCCCCCAAGAAGCCCCCAAAGGCCCCCAAGAAGCCCCCAAGAGGCCCAGGGAGGCTCCCAAGAGGCCTCCAGAAGGCCCCCAGGAAGCTCCGCAGAGGCCCCCCAAGAGGCCCCGCAAGACGGTTCCCAAGAAGTCTCCTCCTCCTACCTCTCCTCCTTCTCCATCATCCTCATCCTCATCCTCATCATCATCATCCTCCTAATCATAATCCTCCTATCATCCTCATCCTCATCCTCATCCTCATCCTCATCCTCATCCTCCTCCTAATCATCATCCTCCTCCCTCTCCTGATCCTCCTCTGATTGCTCCCCCACGCGTTCCCCGAAGGCTTTCTAAACCGACTCGGGAAACAACTGGCCCGATAGCTTGGCCAAGCTCTAATTCAGCTGTCGGCCACATAGGCGCTTCCGAAGGGGCAGGCGGCGGCAGTGATTCGGCGGCGGTGATTCGCCGTAGGCGTCTTCGATCACGCCAACGTCTCAATATGCGCTGATGCTTCCGATCCGCCTCCGCATGATGTTCCCAGAAGCGCCAAGGCAGCGCCGAGGCGCACCGACGCGACTCTGAGATATCCCATCATGATACAGAAGGGGCCTGCGGCAAGGGGGCGAAGCCCTTACGGATAAGCAGTATCCCTGTCATGTGCGGTCCTGCAGCAGGTCCACGACGATGGCCGCGTGGTCTTTCCACTCTGGCGGCTGGCTGTTGAACCTGGGCGTGGGAACGCGTACAGCCAACCCGCATAGTAAGGATGGGCACCCTTCCCAAGGGTCTCCTTGCATCCTTGCCTCCTCGGTCCATCCATGGCCACTTTCGCTGGCCGCGCCCCGCACGAAAAGCTTCGAAACGGCCTTCAAGACCCGTGCATCCTCATCGTGCATCCTTATGATGCGGGTCGACTCTAATTGGGGGTTGCATGTAAGCCAGAAGGCTCCCCCCTTGGGATGTTGTTGCGAATGGTCGCATGATTAGGTCCTGCTGTCCCGCTGCGCGTCGCCACTCAACTGGATGAAATGCCATTGATCGACGTACCATGTTGCGGTGATGGCGCAGGCGAGGGGCGACAACTCAGTGGAAGTCAAACGCATGGCTAATAGTGCACTCGATCCCGATACCAAGCATGGAGTTAAGTCAGCGGAACCATAGACCACTGTGCTGCCGCGTGCGTGTACGGGGCGAAGCACCAAGCACAAATACAGCGCGGCGTTGCCACTCGTGAGGCAGTGCACCAAAACAGAGCAGGCACGCAGGGACAGACAACAGAGGAATCGGAACAACTGGTGTCAGAGAGGCGGCCAGCACAGGTGAACGACTCCCCGAAGAGAAGCAAGACCAAACATCGAGGCCAAGAACCACTCTTTTAGTCTGACCTCGACGAGATCCAGGAAGACTACATCTTGCTCGAAGGAATGCTTCGCGGCAACATAGAAAGTGTGCTCAACAGCTCGATCTTGGAAGTGGTTTCTGATGAAGTCGGTCTGATCCTGCATCGGCCCATCATTGGAAAATGATGATTCTCTTTGCGCGAGTTACGCGATGGTGTGCACCAAGAGACACAGGACCCCATGATGACAACCTCAACGTTACATCACTGCATATGGCACAACATGACGTGCTCGCCCGTTTTGGATCCTCACAATATATCATGGTATGCCGTGGTCCCAGCACCTCTGTATTATACATGAGCAGACGTCACACTGCATGACTGCAGGATTACATAAGAGGCCTGCCCACATCACGAACGGCAAACGTACACTCAGCATGAGTGTCAGATTAGAGGTTATAATCACAGTCAGATGTTGCATGCCCAGCATTGAGTGAATAAGAGGAGCGGTGATGAAATCAGCAGCGGGGTGCGACAGCAATGAGCAGAGCAAGGAGGTGATCGGCACTATCATCGGAAGCTGGGGCTCGAAATATGACAGGAGACGGGAAAGGAACTAAAGCCTCGATCGCGGTCCGTGTACGCTGCCTGTCCCCATCCCTGCCGCAGCAAGACCTGCTGCAACAGCTGCTCTACGCCTCGCGCTGAGTGCAAGAGGCTAGACGTCGGAGGACAGACTTACGTGTTTTATGCGTGAGAGTGATTTTAAGACAGGTTCCGCCCTACTGGTATCTATTAGTGTCTGTCAATGTCCCTGTTTGCGCCTACTCGCGCCTATTAGCGCCTATTGACGCCGATTGATAAATGTTAGCGCCTTCAGCGCCAGTTAGCGACCACAAATAAGCAATAATCCACCACAGAGCCTTTGGGCACGGAGTGAGCGTGTCCTCAGATCCTTTGCCCAATCCCCTGAGCCTCAACCCTCACTCCTGGGGAGTCTTTAAGGGGCCCAGACGCCAAACTGCCAAGTCTACCAGAGCTTTCCGCGGTTCCCCTGGGCCCCGTCGCGCTTTCTCGCGTGACTTGTTCGGCCAAAGACGGCCCAAGAGGGCCCCGAGAGGCCCCGATAACGGTACAAGAGGGCCCCGAGTCGCCGAATGATCCTTTCAAGACGCCCAAGATGGCCCACAGACGGCCTAAGAGGCCCCCAAGACACCCCAAGAGGCTTCCAAGACGCTTCTCACGAGGGCCCCAAGAGGACAAAAAAAATGATGCTCCATAGGTTTCTGTAGGACTTCGGCGTTCTCGCCTTTTCGGCTTTCCGACGCTCCACGACGGCCCAAAAGGGTCCCCAGACCACCCCAAGACGGCCTAAGAGGCCTCCAAAAGAGCCCCAAGACAGCCTAAGAGCGACCCACGACGGCCCAAGAGGCGCCCAGGACGGCCGAAGAGGGCGCAAGACGGCCCCAAAAGGGGCCCAAGCGACGGAGCACGAACTGCAAATCCGAGCCTTCCGCCTCAAGAGGCCCCCAGAGAGACCCCGAAGAGGGCCCAAGAGGCCCCCAAGAGGCCCCAAGAGGCTCCACAACGGCCCCCAGGAGGCCTCAAAACTGCCTCCAAGAGGTCCCCGAGAGGCCTCCCACGAGATCCATTAGGATTCAGACCCACAACCCAGGCACAGGATGGGCCGAAGTCCATTAGAAAACGTTAATAGCAGGGGCAGACAACAATTCATGCTTAAAACAACTATCACGCATAACACACCTAAAGCAGGCACGCCGACGAGACGTGCCCGCCCCTTCAAAAGTTGCCCTCCCCATGAAGAAGGCTCAGAAACTCGCCCTACCCCTTCTGTTCCAGCTCCTTGCCGTCCTCCTCCCTCCTCCATCCCCACATTTGCCTCATCCCTCATCAAACTCACTCCCCTCCTCCCTGCCAATTCTCATCCATTTTCCTCCTGCCCCCTCCCTCCTTCTAGCCCTGCCCTGGTGGCAGACCAGTTCCCTCCCCCCACCCCGCTTACCCCGGTGGCCGACAGTGTCTCTTGTCCCAACCTCCCTGCGCGAAGCCATCGCCACATCCGACCGCGCCCGACTGGACGCCTAAGCCCCGTCCTCATTTCTACCCTCCTATTTCTGTTCAGGAGCTGGTATTGTTCACCCCCTTTCAGCCTCACCCATGACATGTCAACCCTCGTTGGAACAGGTGGAAGACGGACAGCCACCCCTTGGCTTGAATGCTGAGATTACACAAAGAGGAATGTAGCCGAAGCGAGAGGGCACTCTTCCCAGCAAATTATAACTTTGCCCAGCTCGGGAAAGCCGAAAAGCTGGCCCCCCCGAGCCTAACCCCCGTCCTCCTCTGCCAGGACATGATGGCAGCTGCGCGAAGCCTGGCTCTCACCACTACCCAGTGTCAGCATGCTCTGACCCCACATCCTTCAGGAACTTCACCATAGGGTCTAACGCCGAGTGGGTGTTGGACGTGGGCTTGAACAGGTCTTGCACAACCTGCACATCGTTTCATAACGTGGGCCCGCCGAGCAGAGGAAGACATACTGAGAAGCGAGTTCGGGCAAGGCAGAGACCACCCCGCCTGCGAGTGCAGCTCCTACGTCTTGTCCTACCAAAGGCCGAAGAAGGGATTGGCCTCGCTGCCGAGCTGGACAGCTGCAGGGCTCGAGACCTTGGTTGCTCCTTGAACGTTTGGAACGATTCTGGCGCCCGCAGAGGTTCCCGACGAGGCGCAGCTGCAGGAGCACGTAATAGAGCTCGGATACATTCAGGAATATGAACCATCACCACATAATGATCCAGGCGAAGGTACCAACCACATGCAATGTGAACACCGCTTTGTAGGTACTGCTTTCGGTGGAGCTCCCTGTCGGGTCACGAAACGTGTGAGAGGTGTGCCGAAATGGGGGTTCGAACCTCATGCGAACCCTGCCACTGGTGCCTTCGGTGGAGCTCCCTATGGAGCCAGGAAACGTGTGAGGAATGTGCCGAAATGAAAATGGAACCGCATGCAAACACTGCCACTGGAGCCTTCGGTGAAGCTCCCAATGAGGCCACGAAGCGTGTGAGAGGTGTGCCGAAATGGGGGTTCGAACCTCATGCGAACCCTGCCACTGGCGCCTTCGGTGGAGCTCCCTGTGGAGCCAGGAAACGTGTGAGGAATGTGCCGAAATGAAAATGGAACCGCATGCAAACCCTGCCACTGGAGCCTTCGGTGGAGCTCCCAACGAGGCCACGAAGCGTGAGGGGTGTGCCGAAATGGGGTTCGAGAACCCTGCCACTGGCGCCTTCGGTGGAACTTCCTGTGGGGCCAGTAAACCTGTGAGGGGTGTGCCAAAATGCGCGCGCGGAAGGCAGAGGCAAGGATGGGAAGAGGGAGGAGGGCCGAGGAGAGGAGAGGAGGAGGGGAGAGAGGCGCGGGGCGCTGTCTTCAAAACGAGGACCCAACACCACAGGATGGTCGGGGAAATCAAGCAGTGGATTTCCTGAAGTGTTCGCAGGAACTACGCACCTGTCATCTCATTCGCTCTGTCTGTTTCTCTCTGTCTCTCTCTCTCTCTCTCTCTCTCGTTTTGTTCTCTCTCTCTCTCTCTCTCTATATATATATACACACAGGTGCGCATAACTTTTTATTCATGTATATATATATATATATATATAGATGTGCATATATCCATACACATACGCATGTGTATATGTGAGAGAACGCGTTTCGTGGACGCTCGCCTGGGAAAAACACCTTGACACTTGGAACCTCCGGAGGGGGGGGGGCAAAACATTGGGCGCTCCTGGAGATTCGGGGGGCCCCCCCCCCTGGACACCGGCTTTCCTAACCCGGGGGGGAGGGGGGGCACCCCAAAAGGGTTCGAACCGTAAGGGGGGCCCCCACGGGTGGGGAGCCCCCCCCCTGTCCAACGGGAGGGGCGGAGTTCGAACCCGGAGGGGGGCTCCCCCCCCCCTGAATTGCAAAGGGGGGGGTTCGAACCTGAGCGGTGGCCCCCCTGTCCAAGGCAGGGAGGGTTCGAACCTGAAGGGGATGGTCGGAAACAAGGACCCGACACACAGGGGAAGGATGACGAAGAGGAGAAGGATTAAGGAGGGGGAGGAGGAGGAGGAGGAGGAGGAGGAGGAGGAGGAGGAGGAGGAGGAAGGAAGAAAGAAAGGAAGAACTGAAGGGAGGAGACGCGCGGCGCTGCGAATCCGAAAAAAAGACCCAACACACAGGAGGGCTGGGACAAAAACACCCAGCAGGGCGGAAAGAGTAACCGCAGGGTCCTGCGCATCATTGCAGCCTTACGGTGTTCGGCCTCTGCGCAAAACAAACTCCAGAAAGCAGCAAAGGGACCGCGCCAAAAAAGCGCTTCCAATCAGACCGCGACCAACTTCCCTGGCCCGGCAGAGCGGGACCCTGTATTCTCCCAGGCATCCCGCCTGCGTGGGCCATCCGATCGATTACTCATCTAGCTGCGGCTTGGGCCATGGGCGGAGGAGGAGGGGGAGGAGGGGGAGGGGGAGGGGGAGAGGGGGGGAGGAGGGGAGGAGGAGGAGGAAGAGGAGGAGGAGGAGGAGGAGGGAGGAGGAGGAGGAGGAGGAGGAGGAGGAGGAGGAGGGGAGGGAGGAGGGAGGAGGGGAGGGGGAGGGAGGAGGAGGAGGAGGAGAGGAGGAGGGAGGAGGAGGAGGAGGAGGAGGAGGAGGAGGAGGGGAGAGAGGGAGTCGTTCTAGCATCCAAGGTGAGCTCAGATTTCGCCACTTCACTGGAGATCGACTCTACGTGTTCCTACAGGTGAGTGCTGTCTTTGGCCATCTTAGCGAACGAACCCCCAACTCGGACTCATCGAACTGAGTCTACACTGCCCTCAGACATCTATACTCTCGACGACGCAGCGGGCGACCAGCGGTGCGCCTGTCGCGGGAGACTCACATGAAGTGCGCTAGAAAGAAAAACGACGATGGTCATTGTTATAGTAACGTCGACGCCCACATCACCCACTTCGATTCACGACGCCAATCGCAACGTATGCGAGCTCCACGTTCTCCAGATATCAGACGAGGGGCTGATGCATTCGGCGACGATGCCCTTCTATTGAACTACGGGCGCAATCCCTGCCGCATCCCAAGCTTAATCCGCATAGGTAGTTGATGGAGATGGGTGCGTGCAACATGCAAAAGTCGAGTTGCAGACTCGAATACAACGCAGTTGACAAACGCATTCCATCCTGGAGAGCGACGACGAAGACTGACAGCCTGCATACGTCTTCTCACGTGTGTGCCGTGCGCTGGGCGGACGAAGCTGAAGGCTCGCTGTTATCCGATCGAAGTCTTGGTGGCGCGACTTGGAAGGCCGCGTTGAGAACACGCCCCGATCGTCCGAACTCGCAGGCGTCAACCGCACAGGCTACCTCCTGACCTTCCTCGACGACAACCTCGAAGAAAGACCCACTGTCGAATAGGACGGTCTGGTAAAAACCCCTTCGCAAGACGCAGCGACGGTCCAACCAATGCATGACAAGGAGGGCGTGTGCCGACTCGCGAGGAAACCACCCCGCCACGCAATCGGAGGGCTTCTTCTTCGATGAACAGTGTGACGCACAAGGACATACTGGCACTGTATGCTCTCGTTGGAGGCGTACGTCCGACCCGAACAAATAGTCCGACCATCTTGTAGGATGTCGCTTCCCGAGCGGTGTGGCCAGAAAGCGCCCGCCACGACGCAGATACTGTGATGTTTCTCGGTGCGCGCGTCGCCCGGGGGGGGAGGGCGACGCACACGTAGTATTAAGATGTCGCGGTGACGCCGAAGCAAGAATACCTGAGCACCCGGGAGACCCCTCGAGGCCAATGTGGCCGGCGCCCCCCCCCCCAGGGGAACGGAAAGGCCCACACACATGAATGCAGGAGGCTGCTGGACGTGGCCTCATTTCCCCACAGACGGGGAGGGCGGGGTCACGCCGCGAGGAGGCGTCCTTACGCCACGAAAATGTATACACAGACACCCTCCGACGAACTTTGCATGTACCTTAAGGGAGGGGACAATGTATAAAGTCCCCTGGCTCTCAGTGGTGTTTTTTTTTACACCGCCACCCTCCCCCGAGGCCCAGGAACAACTCTGAGGGGGGTGTCTGTATGTGTTTTGTGGCGGGGTCCTATATGTACACGTGGATATCTGAATGCTACACGGGGAACAGGGCGAGGGGTCGTTCCTGTCGCCGCGCTTCCAGCTTCTTCTTCTCGGAAACCGTCTTGTACAGCTCCTGGGGGCAAGGCGCCAGAGACGCGAACCGACACAGCCGCCACCTTCTGCTCGAGATCCGCCCTGGACGGGAAGCGTCAGCTGTGCAGCTCACAACCACCACCATGTGCTCATTATGGGTGCACTGCGGCGGCCATCATCATTCACACTGCACAATGCCCGTCCACACGATCTACATCGTCATCGTTTGTATCTCATGCGGCATGCGGCGTGCGAATGTCAGGCCGCAGATCACCTGCAGGTGCGCCAATATCTCTCCCATTCTCGTGGAACGTGCGTCGGCGTCCACCTCTCTGGTCTTCCCTGAATGGATCGGGGACTGCGTGTAAAAACTCAGTGGGAAAAGGACATCACCACGAACGCAGCAGAGCGCAAGCGGTGAATGAGCCACGCGACCAGTTCAGCCGTTGCCTGAGAAAGCAGACTGGAAATGTCCTTGCAAATGTTAGCCCAAATGGACCTATGAACGAAATCCGGTTTGCCCTGTGGCAAAAAAAGACTAGACGAAGCGCACTGGATGATCATCCTTCCAGCGCGGCTGTGTATGAGTGACCCCCGTGCATGACATCTATCTGATATGGTGGCATATGTTTCCGCCCAGTTTGATTATCACAACATGCATATGGGGCATTGAAACAACGGATGACTGATCCCCGCGGTTGCGCCTGCCTGCGAGAATGGAGTGAGGCAGCACGTGGTACGGAGGCCCTGCGCGCCTCACGGTATGCGTGTGTATCTGTCGATATCAGCCCGCTCACCCATGGCGCTCACGCATCATGATGCTCGGCGATGACGAACTTATTGCGTTATGTATTTATTCGCCAAGCCGTTGTAACGGTCAGCGCAGTGAGCAGCAGCAGCATTCGGGGAGGGGGCCTGCGACACCTGGTGCCTCTCCCGGTCCATGTCCGTGCGCTGCTCGAGCAACGAGGCCCGCGAAGCACTGCTTGCGACGAGCAGCTGCTCGCACTCTCGGACCTCAGTGCGACCGAGAGACCAGCCAGAGGAGGACGGGACTCAGAGGGTGCTGGAGGCCCTCGCGTCTGCAAACTGCTATTTCCCCTATCAGAGCTTGCCTCTGTAGGGGTCATAGCGGATTCACATGGTTAGGTTAGCTGTGGCGCCGATTTCGGTGCCCGGGTGCCCGGTGGCCCTACAGCCCTATAGCCCTATAGCCTTATAGCCTTATAGCCCTATAGCCCTATAGCCGTATAGCCCTATAACCCTATAGCCCTAATAGCCCTATAACCCTATAGCCCCAATAGCCCTAATAGCCCTATAGCCCTAATAGCTCCAATAGTCCCACATCCCTATAGCCCTAATAGCCCTATAGCCCTATGGCCCTATAGCCCCAGAGCCCCAGAGCCCTATAGCCCTATAGCCCCATAGCCCTATAGACCGAATTATCCTGGCGAAGGACCCGAACATAAGCAATTATTCGTAAACCGTTGTGGGTGCCGCTGTCGGTGGGGATCCCTATGGGGCCACGAAACGCTGCCCTGGGTGGGGGAACCGCAGGCGAACTGCGCCACTGGGGCGGGCCTTCGGTGGAGCCCCATATGGGGCCACGAAACGCTGCCCTGGGTGGGGGAACCGCAACCGAACTGCGCCACTGGGGCCATCGGTGGAGCTCTCTATGGGGCCACGAAACGCTGCCCTGGGTGGGGGGACCGCATGCGAACTGCGCCACGGGGGCCTTCGGTGGAGCTCCCTATGGGGCCACGAAACGCCGTCCTGGGCGGGGACCCGCAGGCGAGAGCAGCCACTGGGGCATTCGGTGGAGCTCCCTATAGGGCCACGAAACGCTGCCTTGGGCGGGGGAACCGCATGCGACCCCCCCCCCAATAGGGCCTTCGGTGGAACTCCTTTTATGAGCCACGAAACGCTGTCCTGGGTGGGGGAACCGCATGCGAACTGCGCCACTGGAGCCTTCGGTAGAGCTCCGTATGGGGCCACGAAACGCTGCCTTGGGTAGGGGAACCGCATGCGAACTGCGCCATTGGGGCCTTCGGTGGAGCTCCCCATAAGGGCAACGAAACGCTGCCCTGGGCGGGGGAACCGCATGCGAGAGCAGCCACTGGGGCCTTCGGTGGAGCTCCCTATAGGGGCCACGAAACGCTGCCCTGGGCGGGGGAACGAATTGGGAAAGCAGCCGCTGGGGCCTTCGGTGGAGCTCCCTATAGGGGCCACGAAACGCTGCCCTGGGCGGGGGAACCGCACGCGAAAGCAGCCACTGGGGCCTTCGGTGGAGATCCCTATAGGGCCACGAAACGCTGCCCTGGGTGGGGGAACCGCACGCGGCCCCCCCCATTGGGGCCATCGGCGGAGCTCCCTATGGGGCCACGAAACGTTGCCCTGGACGGGGGAACCGCACGCGACCCCCCGCCATTGGGGCCATCGGTGGAGCTCCCTATGGGGCCACGAAACGCTGCCCTGGGTGAGGAACCGCGTGCGACCCCCCCCACTGGGGCAATCGGCGGAACCCCCTGTGGGGCCACGAAACGCTGCCCTGGGCGGGGGAACCGCACGCGAAAGCAGCCACTGGGGCCATCGGCGGAGCTCCCTATGGGGCCACGAAACGCTGCCCTGTGTGAGGAACCGCATGCGACCCCCCCCCCACTGGGGCCATCGGCAGAACCCTGTGGGGCCACGAAACGCTGCCCTGGGTGGGGGAACCGCATGCGACCCCCCCCCACTGGGGCCATCGGTGGGGCTCCTTATGGAGCCTCGAAACGCTGCCCTGGGCGGGGGAACCGCATGCCAGAGCAACCGCGGAAGCCTTCAGTGGAGCTCCCTATAGGGCCACGAAACGCTGCCCTGGGTGAGGAACCGCGTGCGACTTCCCCCACTGGGGCCATCGGCGGAGCCCCCGGTGGGGCCACGAAACGCTGCCCTGGGCGGGGGAACCGCATGCGCCCACCCCCCCCCACTAGGGCCATCGGCGGAGCTCCCTATGGGGCCACGAAACGCTGCCCTGGGCGGGTGAACCGCATGCGAGAGCAGCCACTGGGGCCATCGGTGGGGATCCCCATGGGGCCACGAAACGCTGCCCTGGGTGGGGGAACCGCATGCGACCCGCCCCACCCCCCCCCAGGGGCCATCGGCGGAGTTCCCTATGGAGCCACGAAGCGCTGCCCTGGGTGGGGGAACCGCATGCGACCACCCCCCCCCCGCTGAGCTCCCTATGGGGCCACGAAACGCTGCCCTGGATGGGAGAGCCGCATGCGAGAGCAGCCACTGGGGCCTTCGGTGGAGCTCCCTCTAGGGCCACGAAACGCTGCCCTGGGCGGGGGAAACCGCATGCGACCCCCCCACTGGGGCCATCGGCAGAGCTCCCTGTGGGGCCACGAAACGCTGCCTTGGGTGGGGGAACCGCATGCGACCCCCCCACCCCACCACTGAAGCCTTCGGCGGAGCTCACTATGGGGCCACGAAACGCTGCCCCGGGTAGGGGAACCGCATGCGACCACCACCCCCCCCACTGGGGCCATCGATGGAGCTCCCTATGGGGCCACGAAACGCTGCCCTGGGCGGGGGAACCGCACGCGAGAGCAGCCACTGGGGCCTTCGGTGGAGCTCCCTCTAGGGCCACGAAACGCTGCCCTGGGTGGGGGAACCGCATGCGCCCCCCCCCCCATTGGGGCCATCGGCGGAGCTCCCTATGGGGCCACGAAACGCTGCCCTGGGTGGGGGAACCGCATGCGACCCCCCCCTTCTGAGGCCATCGGTGGGGCTCCTTATGGAGCCACGAAGCGCTGCCTTGGGTGGGGGAACCGCACGCGAGAGCAGCCACTGGGGCCTTCGGTAGAGCTCACTATGGGGCTACGAAACGTGTGAGGGGTGTGCCGAGAGCAGAGGCAAGGAGGGGGAGGAGGGAGGAGGGAGGGGGCAGCGGGAGGAGGAGACGCGGGGCACCGTCTCTTCAAAACGAGGACCCAACACCACAGGATGGTTGGGAAAAATATGATGTTTGGGGCGCTTCTCCAGTATCATACGACTATATCTGCAAGCCATTCTGGAGAAAATGCTGAATGAGCTACAGCAAACGCTAGGGGAACCCAAGAGGGATGTTCGCAACGGTGAGGGGGCACCCGAAACGCGTGACTCGTTCTCCGCCTAATCCCGAGACGGAGCTGGAAACGCGAGCAACCGAGACCTCAGTCTAGGCAAGCACCAAGGGGGATCAAGCTAGAAGGGAATGGCATGTTTAGAATGTAGAGGTCTGAGGCGTTACAACAACGCGTTCCCATGATGCCGTTGCTGAAAAGTATGCCGCACCCGACCCTTCTCTGCAGGGGTATAGAAGTTCCGTGCTGGATCGAATGCTAAAGCTCGCCAAGTCGTTGCGAGAGGGTCTGCGATTCCGTCATCGGAAATCGTCCTTGCTCTTGGGCGCCCCACGTCCCCCGCTCGCAGGCTCTCTGGGCGATCAGGTCGGATCTGGTCGGTCACACCACACTCGACCAGCGCAGCAGTGCAATGCAACCCGCCTGCTGCAATACACTGCAATGCAACTGGGGGCTCCAGCAATGTTCCATACAATACATGGTCGCGATACAATGCAATACGATTCTCTGGCGCAATACATTTACAATACAATTGTCAGTCTGCAATACATTTATAATGCGTCGTCCGCGCGCATTGCAACTGCATCACGGGTGCCGTGCTGGACAAGGCACTCCATGCCAAGCGCCCGAACTCTTGATGCGACTAGTGTCGCAAATGAGCCACCGAGGTCTTCGAATACATTCCGACGCGTTTTTGTGCCGTCTGCGCCGTTTCTTTGCGCATCCTCGGGCCGCTTGCAAGCCTGCGCAACAAACGGCGGGCGGAAGGGCGCCGTCACTTTCGCACGGGCCCGTCAGATATTTCGGCGCCAGTTCCAGCTGAACCCTCCTGAACCCCCAAAGTGATCCTTCTTTCGGCCTTCGGCGTTTTGACTGTACTCTGCGTTTCGTGCCAAGCGTTGGGGGGTACCCCCCACCCCGACGGATGGTCAACATCCCTGTGTCGGCGCACCGCGCTGGGGGCTGGAGCGCCTTCGGTGGCACCCCAGCTGGAGGATAGTTCTGCCACCACCCCAGCTATAAACCTGGACCCCCTTCTGGGGCTGCCCAGACTCAGGCACACGCAAGCGTGGAGAGAGAGACGGAGAGGGTTGAGGTCGCGGAGGGCCGGGCGGAGTGGCGTGAGGGAACACGGAGGGCGCCGACCTTGTCGCTGTAGAACAGCTTATGGTCGCCCTGGTCCGCCCTGTCCTTGATCTCCGAATACTTCTCCTGGCGCCGCGAGGCCGGGAGAGACGCTTCCCGCGAGCTCCGCCCCGCCCTCGTCGCCTCGGGGCACTCCTCTGCAGGTCCAGATGCGGGTCGAGAGCAGCCTTCAAGGACGTGTCGCGCGCGGGCGCCGCCGCCACGATAGCATTGAGCATCGGCCCTGCTATGCAGAAAACGGACGTCGAGACGAAGTCCCACCAGCCCTTCCGGCGTATGTGGTTCAGATGTGGCTCCTTTCTAAGATCCCATTCTTCCCCGTCGGGGAGGGCTTACCCCACCTAACCCCCTCCCCTGGATCTGGACGCCCCCCCACCCCCCCCATGAGGTGTCAGAGGGTCCCGCTTGGCCAAAGATGGCTCCAAGATGACCCTGCATATGCCTGGACGGCCTCCAAGACGGCACTTGTAGCCTAAGATGGTTCAAGATGGCCTCCAGCATTCGTCCGAGAGACCCCCACACCGCCACAAGAGGGCTCCAAGTGGCCATGGAGCCTCACAACAATGCTTCCCCGAAGCCCCAAAACGGGCCAAGATCGCCCAAGAAAGCCCCAGATCCCAAGGTTGTGGATTGCTGTGGTCGCGATTGTTGTGTCTCGTGGAGTCAAGTGTACGTGAAGATCGAATCACATTGGTTGAGCAAATAATAAGACATGTTTTTTAAAGCGCGCATCTTGTCGCAGGAACCAGGCAAAAGTACGATTACTTCTCAGCCCGAGAAACGAGTCACCTAACCTTCCCTTATGTCCCCTCCCCTCTCCTTCCTTTCCTCCCGTGCTGCCCTCCTCAATCCATACATCCAGTCCTTGTCTCGATCGAGGTCCGCGCTGGCCTTGGTGAGACTCTGCAACTGCTCACGCACCTGCTTCTCCGCCTGGTCGCATCAAGGCACATAACAATACACTGACAAAAGGTAACGATGACAACACCAGATGAGCCGCCTCCGCGGTGGAAGAGTAACCTGGGCAACTCCTATATATCTCCTTCGCAATTGGCCCCCCCCACTGCACAGCGGCGCGTCTGCAAAACGGCGTGCCTCAAAGTCCCAAGGAGAGTATTGTATGTACTGGTTAGGAGTGCACTAGTTCTCCACCTCCGCCCATCAAAGTTACTGTTAAGCCAGTTGCCACGTTGAGATGCAAATGTTTGAGAGGACGGCTACGGATGAGCATCCCCATGCATGCACTACCCCACATCCCACTCCCTGCCATTTCATGCTCGCCTGCTGCGCTGCTGAGGAAGACCGCACAGAGACCCAAAAGGCGCCGACTTTCGTGACATGTTCGTTGCGACTTGAACCTCTGGGCGATGCACTCGCAGCAGCGGGAGGGGAGAAAAGTAAAAAAACTTCCCCCCCTCGATACTGCTCGTCTGCTCGACTGTGCCCTGTGCTCAAGAGGACGTGCACCCTCGATGTCAGGAAACGCCGAGAGAATCAAATGTCACGGAGTCGGTGCGCGACGCACCGAACCCGCGACACTCACGGCGCAAAGCGCGACGCAACCGACTCAACACTATAGCGAAGCTCCCGGGGCCCTCCAATCACGATAGACCTTCAGCACTCTTTGCGCACGGAGTGCACCCGGACACACTACCACCCAACCTGGCACACTTCTGGCACACTACCACCCATGAACACCCCACCCTCTGTGGCGCCCCGCGCCCCAGGGAGGTACTGTAACTAACGCCCAGGGAGTCGAGGAGGGGGGACGGGGATAGGGCAGGAGGGAAGATTTGCTTCGTGCCTTGGGCCTCCAGTGTATGCAGCTCGTCCAGCTTCGTTCTCTGCCGAATCGACCTGCCTCAGATTGGTGGAATGACGCATACGCTAATGAATGGCCAAACCTGTGCTTGAGAAATGCTGCCGCCATGTCCAATGCCGTCACCCGCGCTCCTCTGGTGGAATGTGTCGATGTCCCGCCGCTTCGCCAATCCACAGTTCGCAACGTGGACCGCTCCTGTGTTGCGCTGGCGCAGTCGCCAGTCGACAGGGTCCAAATAGCCCGCCTTATACCCAGCTGACTGTTGAACAACAGTGCCAGCATTGACCTCAAAAAATGGGTTTGAGCACCTTGGATGTGCAAGCTGTGGCGCGATGTATGCAGTGCAGTCTACGCGGGATGGCGCAAGCTATGTGACGCAGCATATACGAGGCAAGCTTCGTGGAGTAAGCTGAGATGGTGCAACTTACGTGGCGCAATTATTTCTGATCGACTCATAAATTGCCAAGTCCGCTGCGCACGCAATCATCCCACGCTCCACCCGACACTTGCTTGCCAAACCCATGCGGCCGCGATTGCGTTGACCGTTGACTGATTCGCCCTGGCTGGCACATCTCTGCGACCGCGCTGGCGCGCGCAAGCTCGCGCGAAGAGCGGCCAACTGGTTTGGCACGACCGATGTGGCCGCGATAGCGCTTACCGATGGCAGACCCCCAGCGCGTATCACAGGCCTCGCTGGCGCACGGGTACTTCAATGCGGGTCCGTGACTCAGGCGCGCGCGGTATCGTGATAACGTTGACAATGGCAGCAACGACGATGATAGTAGCAATGGTGGTGGCGATGACGACGATAACGACGGCGAGCCCAAGGACGGCGCCGATGCTGGTGACGACGATGACGATGATGATGTTCATGTGCCAGTGATCATGGTGTTTGATTAATGATGGCGGCACTGGCGGCGATTGTCGATGACGATGATATGGTGCGGCAGCGCTGATGAGAGTGATGGTGAGGAAAAGCGCGCGCAGAACTCCAAGAAACTGGGCAAATGCGTGGTTGAAGCGAATGCTGGTCTTCACGTGTGTTTGAAGAGCTCGCCCTTAGCAATGATCAGAAAACCAATGGCTTTGGAAGGATTTCGACACGCACGCGAGGCGGCACGCGCGCGCCCCGCACGGCATCATTTGGTACGGATTCGTGCACTGGGCGCACGCTGGATCCACGCAGATGCACCGCGTGGCGAGATGAGAGTGCGAGTTCTGGACGAGGTTGCTCAAATCGTACGTTAAGGTGTCAGAAGGTGCGCGCGGGCCAGAAAATGTGCAAGATGTGCGCTGACAGCCAATGGTAGGTGATGCCATGATGTTGAAATGCGTGCAAAGCTTGTGTTTTGCATGCTTTCAACATGCGCGCGCGCGTTTGAACTGTGTGCCACTTTTTGCCAAGGATGATTGAAAGACAGATCTTCTGAGATAAACGGGCGTGCGTGCGCTTGCAATCATTTGATAGGGATGGGGGGGCGATACCCGACCTGGCTGGGATGGTATACATTCACATGGAAAATGAGCGATGATGCAGGATCGTGTAATTTGCAGTGTCACAGGGAGGGGAGGGAGAGGGTGCTACGGTAGATTCTTCTCTAGAGAGGAGAACGCATGTGGAGCAAGTTACGCGGCGGAACAGACGTAGCGCAAGCCACGAGGTGCAGCCACCTCACGATTGGCATGGGGGAACCAGGTCCTGAGGGAAACGAATCCTGGACCCCGGGGACTTCCCCTGCAAGACTCGTCAACAACAAAAAATGAACGGTCCTTGTTCTCGGTGCTTGCATGGTCGGCGCTACCTCAATGCTGGCATGAGCCATCCGGCCCAGGCGCAGGGGTGCCCCAAGCCCGGCGAGCACCCTCGCGGCATCGGAGAGCGCGCGTGCTCTGACGAGCGCCCGGACTATCAGGCGCTTCCATGCTGAAGGGCGCTCCTAATTTGATGGCTGACGAGGCTCGTAGCACGAAACCTTCGGCCTGCGCCGTTCCCTCGCACAGCCCCGCGGCCCGCGGAGGGCCCCGAGGAGCCCGAGAAGGCCTGCGAAGCCTCAGGGCCCGCTGCCCTCCGGACCCGCCTCCCCCGCGGCGGCGCGAGGCGCCCACGAAGCAGCCACCTCCTGCCTCCTGCCTCCTGCCTCCTGCCTCCTCCCTCCTGCCTCCTGCCTCCTGCATCCTGCTCCTGCCTCCCTCCTCCTCCTGCTCCTCCTCCTCCCCCTCCTCCTGCCTCCTCCCTCCTCCCTCCTCCTCCTCCTCCTCCTCCTCCTCCTCCTCCTCCTCCCTCGTCCTCCTCCTCCTCCCTCCTCTCCTCCTCCTCCTCCTCCTCCCTCCTCCTCCTCCCTCCTCTCCTCCTCCTCCTCCTCCTCCTCCTCCCTCCTCCTCCTCCTCCTCCTCCTCACTTCTCCTCCTCCTCCTAGGCCTGGAAGTTGGCACCAACACCAACACGGGCAAGAAGCCGAACTCTACACACCGACGCTTTGTTTCCAGCCCCGCACTGAACCTCGCACAAGAGAGCGGATCCTGGTGTATACGGGATCCTGGCGCATACGTTCTTCGTAGTTTCCCTGGGAAAGCGGGAAAAAAGTATGCGCCACACCACCCCGACGTCGTCCCCGACCCTCAAAAAAGTCCTGGGATTGAAAAACCGCCCGCCACTGGTAATGTATGTGCTCCAGTTTCCGAAAATTGGCACCAACACCAACACAGGGGTTTGCCTCCACAGGGGGAAAATGATATTCGATTTCGGCTTTGGTGGCAATGGTTCGGTCACCTCGGAAGCTAGAACATTATCATCACCACCGAGATCGGGATCCTCTTCCCTGGGTGGAGGAACACCGCCGACATTGGTTTTGGTGTCAACCTCTAGGCCTGCGAGTGGGGAAATGAGAAGGAGAAGGCCTCCTCAGAAGGTTCGGAAGTCCCCCAGCCTTCTGAAAAGTTGTCTTAGCCTTCCCCGAAGACACAGAAAACATCTCAGAAGGCACGAGGGTTTGTGTGAAGTCCCGCCGCCTTCTGAGAGGGCCTTTTCCTTTTGACTTACCCCCTTCGCTCGCCGCCGAGACGTGGCGAAAGCCCGGAAATGCCAGCCAACGCACGAGGCGCCCACGAGGCGCCCACAGCAGCGGACCACAGTGGCGAGGGGACGAGAACCCGGAGACCCCATAAAAATTGCAGGAACGATTCGCGATAGATACTGAGGCTTCCCGCAGGCAGGATCCAGAGGGTCTCTCGCCGTCGAAGCAGAGCAAGCCGACGAGGATGAGGACGAGGAGGAGGAGGAGGCGGAGGAGGAGGAGGCGGAGAAAGGGGGGGCGGAGGAGGGGGAGGAGGAGGAGGAGGAGGAGGAGGAGGAGGAGGAGGAGGAGGAGCAGCAGGAGGACGAGGAGGATTTTTTGACCACCAGGCTTCAACTGCATTCAATATAAATAAAACTGACAGGTAGCAGCGACACACTGAAACAGTTCACATAGGAAACACTCAATGGAGGGGGATGTCAGTTAAAACCTTGACCTGTCCCATCCCCTGCTGAGGGTGTTCACCCAACAGTACGTGTTTCCACTTCGACCTCTGCTGTGAATTCAGAGTCCCTGGGCACACCGTCTTGTAAAGGTTGGACTTTAAAGGCGAGCCAGTGGACAAAACCAAACAACAATGCACACAAACATACAGAGTTGAGCGGTCTGAACAAGGAAACGCAACAATGACATGTATATTGCTACGAATTCGTTCCCAGTCGAGTCCTCGCACCACACCACTACACACACGTGGGGGACGGCAGGACTGGTCAACAACAGTAGATCTCGCAGAACCTGGATGCCGAGTGGCTCGACAGCACGCTTGGCATCTCCAGAAATCCGCTATCCGTACCCATTGGCAGGGAGCACGACCGGTTGGCACCGGATCCTTTGGAACACGGGCACATGCTCGACGTCAGGCTGATCCTTTAGGGGAGAGGACGGGAGCAACTTCATCGCGAGCCTGCAAAGCGCAGAGGTGAACTTGACTCTGGAATTCGTCTCTTCCATGCACTCAGCATCAAAAAGATTCAAACGTGCAGCAGCTTTAGCACCAACATCCGCGAGTTGGTTGCCAATGCGACGAAACTCGTCATCCTCTGGCAGGCCTTCCTCTTGGAGCGAAAGGTGGGCCTTCACTTTTACAATACCCTGCAAGTGATGCGCAGAGTCACAGTACTGAGCCTGCACCACATGGCCTGCATACGTTTTGCGAAAAGAGGCGATCTCCTCAGAAGATGCCTGAAACTGATAGAAAACGTTAGCAAAATCGGAGAATATTGTAGTCGGACCCACCAGACACATCACAG